TCGCGGCTCCCGGGCCGGGCGAGGGCTGAGAGGGCCGCTTACCCGAGACGGGCCCGCTGGACGTGCTCGTTCCCGGGAGAGCAGTGCGAGACTGACGGTTGAGGCCCGGAAAATAAAGACAGGGGGAGGGGGCGTGGAGCCAGCCGCGGGGTTCGCGGACGCGCACCTCCGTGGGCGCGCAGGTGAGCTTGATGACCCGGCGCCGGCCGAGCCCCGAGGACGGATGGGGATGAGGGCTCCGGAGCGCGTCCGGCCACCTGCTACGTGGGCTGCGGGGGCGGGGTGCTGCCACCAAATCAAAATGCGCCCCCCGGCCTTTCCGATTCACCGTGGGGTTTTGATGGCAGTAAACCGCTTGGACGTGAACTAAACTCCGGTCTCTGCCCTTTTTCTCGTCCCCTCCCGGAATGTGAAGAAAATACACTACCTTGCAATGAACTCCCCTCTACTTCATCTTCTATCGCTGCTGTCCAATAAAAACAGCGCGAACCACAAATGCAAACCACTTATGTAATTATGCATCTTCTAGAAGATACGTTAACCGAGTGAAAAGAAACAGATGAAGTTAATTTTAATAAAATTTTTACTTAACCCAATCTGGGCAAAATGGTGTCAGTTCAACATGTAATTAACATAAAAATGTTAATGAGAAATGCCCCTTCTCTTTGGCACTAATCAAAATCTGGTGTGCATTTTACACTTTCCACGCATCTCAGGAGCAGGCACATTTCAAGAACTCGATGCCACATGTGGCTAATGGTTATCGTGCTCTACTGCGAAGTTCTAGACATTATGTGTAAATTATTTGGGTAGGATCAGGTCTGGCAGTGCTAAAAGTAATTGAAGGGAGTAATGAAAGAATCCAGAAAAAGTGTGGTTCCTTGGTGTAGAGAAAAGTGGGATTTAAAGAAGGCTGTGGCTTAATTCAGATCCTGGCCTTGACCTTTACTGCCTGTGTGATCTTGGGTAACTAAGAGAGTTTCTTTGAGCCTCAGTTTCCTCAACTGTAAAATAATAAACAGATTATAGAACTTAGCATATATTACAGAGACAAGAATACAATTAAAAAATTAGACAGTGTTCATTTAAAATTAATTATTTTGTATGTGAGTCACTTCTTGCTTGGGCTCTTTTAATATATATAATAGAATAGAAAGACTCAGAAACTGTTCTTTCTCAAAAACTGAGAGTGATTTATGGTCACCCAAGATATCTCAGACTTTTTGTTTGGGCTCGACACTCCTTTTGTTGTTGAAAAAAGACTTTTTTTTTGTTTTTTTAAATCTGAGAAGAGGCTATTCCAAGTCCATGTGTCTTCAGGGACTCTTTACAGCCTCCTTGTGGTGGGTAAGTAAGGTACTTGAGGTGTTAATACTTTGCTGTCTCCCCATGCTCTGTTATGTAGCTTTAGCCCTATTATTAAGATAAAAGAACAGGTGAATTTAGGGATAACATGCATGGATTAAGCTTCATGATAATACAGCAAATATTTGTTTTGTGATGTGCCAGTCACTGTTCTAAACGTTTTACTTTTGTCGTTAAATTTAATTCTCACATCCAATGAATGTGAGATAATCTAATTATCAACATTTTTACAGAAAAGGTGCCAAGATATTATGAGCGTCAAATGCATCTGAGGACTATTACAGAGCCAAGTGACAAGTCCTAAGTACTACAAAAATGCCAAGACCAATACAAACATGCCCAAACTGAACACTCTATGGGTCTTCGAAGAGAATCTTTATATTCTTCTTTGTTATAGATTTATGATGAAAAGTAGGACAGTCTGGTAAATATGTTGTAATATGGGAAAAATACTTGCTGTGAACTATGGGAAAAATATGTTTCCTTAAACTAAGCTTGAAAGACATACTCCCAGAATACTTTCCCACATATTTGGTTTTCTTTTCTTCCACTAAAGTAGACTTCTGGGCAGCAAGCACATTTAAGTTTTATACCTGTAAAACTTTACCCAATACTTGGTACATAATAAACTCTTTAAAATAATTTTCTATTGGCCCTCCCTGGTGGCGCAGCGGGTTAAAGCACTGCACTAAGAAGCTGAAACCACTTCTGCACCAGTTCAATTCCCGCCTGCCCCGGAGGTGACCACATGGCGTGGCAGACCTCTCCTGACCCGCCCGCTGCTCCCCTCAGCAGTGTACTTCGTCGATCTGCCTGTTCTGCTCCCCACTCTGTCTCTGGTGAAACCTCTCACTGCCCCTGAGCTTCTGGCCTGTACCCCAGTTCTGTATGAATAAATAAATAAATCTTTAAAAAAAAATTTTTCTATTGAATATCATCAGTTTATAACATAAATTTCAGGGGTACAGTATTATAGTTTGATATCTGTATGTAAAACATGATAAATATGAGAAGGTGTTTTTTCCATTCACTACCATACAATTGATCCGTTTTGCCTTCCCCACAATCTTCTTCCCTTCAGGTAATGATGAATCTATTCTCTGAATATAAGTTTGTTTTTATTTGTTCTTTGCTTTGTCTCTTTGCCTTCCACAAGAGAAATCAGTTGTTTTTCTCTATCTGACTTACTCATTTAGTGTAATATCCTCAGCTTCCATCTACACTGTGACAAATGTCAAGATTTCATTTTTTAAATTATAAGTACTATTCCATTGTGAATATATGTGCTGCATCTTCTTAACCCTTTCATTCATCGATGGGCATAGGCATACCTTGGCTATTGTAAAGTGCTATAATGAATGTGGGTCTTCATATATCTTTTTTAATTGTTTTTGTATTTTTTTTTTTTTTGGTAAATATACAGGAGCGGAATATAGCTGGACCATAGTGTATTTCTATTCTTAATATTTTGAGGAGCCTTCATACTATCTTCCATATAGGATGCACCGCTTTACATCCCATCACCAATGCCTGAGGGTTGCCTTTTGCCCATATCTTTGCCAACACTATTGCTTCTTGTCTTTTTGATAATAGTCATTCTAATGTATGTAAAGTGATATCTCATTGTAGCTTTGATCTGAAGTTTGCCAGCAATAATGGATGATGAACATCTTGTATGTACCCATTGGCCATCTGTATATCTGTTCTTTAGAGAGATACCTATTCTGATCCTCTGCCCATTTTTTGTCTCTTTATTTTGTTGAGTTGATGAGTTGTTTATATGTTCTAGATATTAACCTCTTGTTAGATGTGTGATTTTTGAATAAATAAATAAATGAATAAATAAATAAATAAGATTTATTTATTATACATACAGAACTGGGGTACAGGCCAGAGGTGCAGGGGTGATGAGAGGATTCATGAGAAGGATTAGGGAGCAGAACAAGTCTCCTGCGCCATGTGGTTCATCTCCCTAACTGGGGATTAAACTCATGCAAAAGCAGTTGCCCTCAACTTGTAGTGCCACACTTTAACCCTTTGGGTGCCACCAGGAAGGGCCCTTCCTTAAATTTAAACGTAACTTTTTCAGTAGAGAGTGTTCCTCCTTATAAGGCACAAAGGCTTACCTTGAACTTTCTTTAACACTAAAAGGGCACAGAGAATTCTGTTGGAAAAGTAACATAATTAATTGTCAAGGTTTCTCAGAAATTAAGGAGTAAGTCATACTAGCGGGGGATGAGAGGGAAAAGGAGAGCAAAGTGTTCAGTTCTGCTTAGTTTAATTGTTTCTATTCTAAAAGACCTTTAGACTATAAAATTAAGGAGATCCAGTTACAGTAAGAATGTAAGAAAAGATGGCAGGAATGTAAGATGATCACTCTAGAAAAGTTTGGCCATTTTTTTTAAAAGATTTATTTATTTATTCATACAGAACTGGGGTACAGGCCAGAGATGCAGAGGGTGAGAGGGTTTACCAGAGACAGAGTGGGGAGCAGAACAGGCAGATCGACGAAGTACACTGCTGAGGGGAGCAGCGGGCGGGTCAGGAGAGGTCTGCCGGGCCATGTGGATCTGCAGGGGCAGGCGGGGATCAAACTCATGTGGAATTGGCTTAAGCTTCTTAATGCATTGCTTTAACCCGCTGCGCCACCAGGGAGGGCCCAGAGTTTGGCCATTTTTAATGGACAATTTAAAATTATATATATGAAAGTATTGTACAACCCAGAAATTGTACTCCTGAGAGTACATGATGGTTATATCGTGTGTCAGCTTGACTGGGAGGTAGGACACCCCTATATCTGATTAAACATTATTTCTAGGTGTGTCTATAAGGGTGGTCCTGGAAGAGTTTAGTTTTTGAATTGGTACACTGAGTAAAGCAGATGGCTTGCCTCAACCCATTAAGGGCCTGAAGAAAACAGAAAGGAGAAGGAAGGAAGAATTCTATTATCTCCCTGCCTGATGACCTGAGCTGGGACATCAGTCTTCTGACCTTACATCAGACTTACACCATGGTGGTTTAATTCTCAGGCCTTCAGAATTTGACTGAAACCACATCATTGGCTTTTCTGGATCTCCAGCTTGCCGACAACAAGCTGTACAACTTTATAGCCTCCTCAAACATGACCAATTCCTCATATAAATTATACATAATATTCACACATATACATATGTATGTGATAGCATATAAAACTATTATATATATATACTATTATATACACTATTACATAAAATAATACTAATAATTGTTATTAATTCTGTTTCTCTGGAGAACCCTAAGCAATAAATTTATCATTTATAATGATAAAGTGTTGTAACAAAAACCTAATATGTGGAAGGAAATTTGAAATTAGTTAATGGGTAGAAGCTGGTCATTTCTTTCCAGGGCATTCTAAAAAAAGTTATCATTGCCATGAAGGTCCATTAAAGGTCATTCTGGCAAAGCTCAGAAAGGAAAGAGTTGAGTTGTAGAGAAAGCAACCATCTTCTTAGAGAATGCAAATATTTTTTGTACTTAGTACAGAACATTGGGTGAAATATGGATGGTAAAGTTCATCCTGATGAAGTCTTAAACAGGAATGAGGAACATGTCACTGGACAGTGGAGAGAAGACTGTCCTTGTTGCAAAGAGGCAAAGATCTTGACTGAGTTGTGGTCATGTTTTCATATTTTGTAGAAAGTGGATCTTGCAAGCAATGACATTGGAGATTTAGCTGAGGAGAGTCCTAAGTAAAATATTTTAAAATGGCTTGTTCCTCTTGACTGCATATAGTATGATGTAAGAGGACAGAAAAGAGAAGGAGGAAGTTAGGCAAAAAGAAACTAGAACATAAAGTTTTGAAAAAGGCTCAGCCTGTACATATTGAAAAAAAACGAGAAAGCCTGTTCACAAGAGAATACTGTGAGAGCTAATTGAAGATTTGAGAAGGAGAAAAACATGGGTGTGAATTTTGGCCTAATCATCCATAGCTGATTTAGGCA